AGGCCAGGCCGGGCCGTGGCAGGCGGGGAACCTTGGCTTCCTCCATCGCCAGGGCAACCAAACCTCATGTTCACTTCAGCTGCCGGCTGCCATCTTGGTTGGCAGTTAATTTGCATATTGCCCGATTAGCCAATGGGAAGCATATCAGAGGTACAGTTAATTACCCTATTTGCCTTTTATTAGTAGGACTAGAGGCCTGGTGCATGAAATTCATGTACTGGGGGGGTGGGGTACTCAGCCCAGCCTGTGCTCCAATAAGCCAGTAATCAGACATCCCTCTCGCAGTCCAGGACCTCTTGCTCCTTATCACCCACCTGCAGCGTAGGCGGGAGGGAGAGGCTCCCATCACTGTAGCTGCTCTTGCCAGCTGTGAGCCCAGCTTCTGGCTGAGTGGCGCTCCCACAGTGGGAGCGCAATGACCACCGGGGGCAGCTCCTGCGTTGAGCATCTGCCCCCTGGTGGTCAGTGCGTGTCATAGCAACTGGTCATTTAGCCAGTTGCTCCACTGTTTGGTTGATTTGCATATTAGGGTTTTATTATATAAGATTAATCACTTTGAAGAATATTTATGTGGTGGTAGAAGACCTCATTTAATTTTTAAAATATAATACTAAACTTCAGTTCATTCCAAAATTTGAGTCAATCAAAAAGTTCAATGCATTTTAATAAAAGATATTTAATATTAATTATGATTGTTCATAAGTGGTAATTAAAAGCTGTATAAAAAAAGCCTCACATGTGTTTCCTCTACATTTGTGGTAAGGTCATATCCATACTATTGAATATTTTAACATTTTTCTCCTCAAATAGTACATAGCTATTAGATCTTTTCAAAGATGAGTATTGTTGCAATTTTAAGTGGCTGGCTTCTTTAAAATTGATGTTCTCTGCAGTAATTTTTTCCAAAATAGTGAGAAAAACCCTAACTTTGTTTTGCCCTTTAGAATTCAGACATGGTATCAATGCAGTTCTTTGACTAATGAAGTTAGTTCATCTTAGAGAATTTTGAAATGGCTAAGATGATTCCATAGAAAAAGAATATCTGCAAAAGACCCAGTGTTAAGTAAAAAAATGGGTGTATTGTGATATTGAATTATAAAAAGTACAGTTTCCATGGCTTCGTAGTTCCAGAAATTCATATTCCAAATTAGTGACTTCTATTTTTTTAAAGATACCAACCTCCATTCTTTTAATTCCTCCAACCCCTCGACCGCCATAATAGGAAGCATCCACAGTTGGCCATTTCTTGTTTGGCAGAGGGTCCTCTTCCTCCTATTTAGATACAATTTTAAAAAATCGGCTCAATTACATTTTTAAAATATTGCTTAGTCAGGACTGGTTCACACTGAGCCATTTTTCTGCATAATGCAATTCATGTGTAAGAAACACAGTACAAGTTATACATGAGACATGTAGATGTGTGGATGCTTAGGGCATAAATCTCCCCTGGAGTTCCAGAGCACAGGAGGACTCCTTCCTCTCTACAATTTTAGGGAACTTCCCTTATTCACTACGTTACCAAACGTTGCTATGAGCATCATTTGTTTTGTTTTGTTTTCCTATTCATCACTTGATATTTAAAGAGATAAAACATTAAAATTGGGAGAGCATTTCAATAACCATGTAACTCATCAAAGTGTATGTTTGAGTTCTGTGAAGTTTACTAAAAAAATACGTAGTTGAGAAGCTTTAAAAATGCATAAGGCAGTACATGCTGTATTTCATGTTGCTAACACATTTTTGGCTAACAGTTATTTCAAGTACAATAGCCCCCTTTTAGCTTTTATCCCCCGCTCCCTCCCAAACCTTCATTGGATGCCTAAAACTGTGGATAGTACCAAACCTAATATATATGATGTTTTTTCTATTCATACATACCTATGATATAGTTTAATTTATAAATTGGGAAATTTCATGGTGTTTTTATTGTAGATCTTAGCAACCTCAACATTTTTTTTTTCTTTTCTTATTGAGAACTTTCACCTTTTCACATAAAGGAAGCACTTTACAGCTTCTCTTTGGCATATCCAAACTGCCAACGTCACTACTCTCGTACTTTGGGGCCATTACTAAATAAAATAAGGGTTATGTGAACACAAGCATTGCACTACTGAGGCATAGTTTGGTAACCGAGACAGCTACTGTGTCACTTATAGGCAGGTAGGTATACAGCAGGGATACCCTGGACAAAGGCA